ATAATGAGTTAAATACGAAAGTAATAAACATTAAAACATAGGTATATGTGAACGGATAGTGATTAATTGAAGCCTCCTGGTTAAGAAAACTATATACATGTATCGTGGAGTATCGGTGATTATTTTTGAGAAATTCTGGAAATTGCGTTGTAACTCAGATTAGATTATATTTGTTAGTGGAACCCCGTACATGATTTGAACTCATTTGTGAAACAACAAAGTTAACGCTATTCTGAAAAGTAAACTCGATGAAGCCGAAATCTAAGATCAGCATTCATTTATTCAAATACTTTAGCGTCATCTCAAGACTACTGTTTTACGATGGACATCATCAGTACAATATTTGTTAATGTTTGGCATTTCACACTAGTAGTCAACTAGATTTCTTTAGTAATCACAGAACACATTGTAACACAATTTAATAGATACTAAAAGAGAATGTTGATACAAATCACTGACATGCTAAGGACAACCAAACAGTTCACTTGTCTAACATAGTGTTACAAACAATCTTACATTTTTACCCAGTATTCGTTTTGCAGTAAGATGATATACTGTATCATTGACATTGGGTTAACTTTCCTGAAGTTATAAAAAGTCAATAACAAGTTGAATTTGCACTGGGAATTAATCTATTTTCAATGACCTTATTGAATATGACTCCAAAATCTCATACTATCCAGATTTTACTGCTATTATCTACCACAGTAACAGTAATCATTTTGAATTCATTATATTGCATTAGACGTAAATACCAGCTGACAAACGTTTCTAAACTAAACCATCAGAAGAAATTACAATAAACTAGTGAGTTGCAATATTTCTCTGTGCACAAAAATCTAACAAGCATGTTAGTGAAAAGTATTTAGGCTAAATACGTAAAGTATTGTTAATTTAACTATACAAATTAAGAAGAAATGATTATGCATTTCTTTATTATGTGATTTTATAAGAAAATAAGAAATAATGAGTTATTGTTGATAAACCTTGTATACAGTTCTTAGATTGAGACAGTATTTTTCTTTTTGCTTCATCTGGTTAGATTCACTGAAGCGTTTACAACATATATATAACAAGAAAATACTCTTTTAAAGCCTTTTTAATTAGATTCACCTATGTTTTATCTAGTGGTAATCTAGATTAATTGTTTTTGAGTAACCATAACAATAAAGATCCATTATGTAGAAACAAAATCACTTGACATACTGAAAAAAATCGCCTGACTGTTAATTGACACTTTGTTTCAGAAAATAAAAGGACGTTTCATTATTCTCTTTAAACATAACAAATCCAGATAATGCATTAATTGTTTACAATTCTTTTCTTGATTTCATGGGATGACAACAGGACCATATTCTCAACATTTATACAAACTGTGTCATACATTTTCTTCTCTGATAAAATAGTTTGAGGAAACTATGTTTATAATTACAATGTTATGGTGAACTTAGGTTGAAAAGTTTATTTTATGTTGTATAAGTATACGTACATTGTTTAGGAAATTTACTTTTCGACCAGAAATTTTGGATTAAACAATGAATGACCAATATCCTAGATACAATCTTGATGACTATTACCAAACTAGAATATAACCACTGTCAGTCCTATCTGGTTTTTAATGGTTTCCCAGATGATAAGCATCAATAATGCAAAAATTAGCTTCAAAATGAATTTAGCGTCATCAACTACTTAATGAAAGAAAGTTCATTACTTCATGTAAATATAAAGAAGGGAATTAATCAGTGTTATGTTATCTTTCTTAACAAGTCATTAATTTATACCTTTAAGTAAGAAGTAATCGTTTGAAGACGAATCAATGGAAATGGATAGCTGAGTAAAACGCAATATCTTTTGATTTGAGAAATTTCCATTTCACTTCGCGTATTTGGTAAATTCAGTTGGCATTTGGTATATGTTAGTTACAAGCAAAGATTTAAACATAATAATAATCTTCGATGATATTATGCTGTCGTGACTCGATCCAGTATATTTACGAGATTTCATTAAAATGTAAACTCGGAATTATGATTGTTCAGGAGCTATAATTATAAGTTCATTTCTAATTCTTTAGAAAAAAGAACATCTTAATCTCCTAGTGTATTTGACAATATTATAGACTACAATAGTTATTAACTAGGGAGAAATATGGAAAAAGTACTAATTTAATTTTTATTGAGCCATCAAATATTTATGTAGATATGGAACCACTAAAAACATTGTCTGATATTTGTTTCTATTCATCATTAGGACATCACTGAGAACCTGAAGAGACTCATGAATACATGAAATCTCTCGAAGCTCTTTTAAATTGTAATGATAATGTACTGTATTTTGGTAAGATACTAAAGAACAGGGCGACTGCAATTTAATCGATGAATTATAATACATTATGTTGTTTATGTGATAAGAAATGATTGTAAATGAAATGATCTGAATAATTTTATGGTGAATTAGGTCTATTTATGGTTACTTTAACAAAAAGTGAGGTTGAGCAAGAACTTGTTATATGGAGTCACTGTAGGAGAGCTCTCCAAGTCACATTATATACGATCTCATTATCGAATTAACCGATTTTAGTTTTAATACTCATCCAGTAGTTTTGAGTGTAAAAACAGTTGTAGACCGATAACGATCTGAAATTTTTGTTCTTAACCAATTTTAAAATCATATATTGTTAGGTCATTTATTCAGGATACGTTATTTTATTCACTGATGCACTAAATACTTTCATTCTAGTCTTATATTACAATTTTGTAAATAAACTAGTTTTATCGCATAAAATTTAGACCATTGCTAATTATCTCTTACAAAAACGTTAAAGTTGTCTTACAAAAAAGGATGGATAGTGGCTAGCAGTGGGATCCAGTACATGCGTTTCGTCCTACTCAGGACTCGTCAGCTGGATGTACCTGCATCTCAAAGTTGATGTCCACTTTGGGACTTTATTTAGTATCACTCACTTCAAACGCCATCGCGTTACGCACTGAGTCCTGATAGCCACCTGCTTGTGAGGCAGGGTGAAGTTTAAATTCACTTAGCATTATCTGATTGTATCTTCCCATTGTTGTTAAGGCCTGTAAGTGATCATTTTCTTGTGGGCATTTGTGCATCTTGTGACGACTGCCTCGATATTGCCTTGACTCACAAGCTTTATAAGCAAAGATGGATAGTGGCTTACAGTGGAATCCAGGACGCACGTTTCATCTCACTTAGGACTCGTCAGCAAATAATACCAAGTGAATGAGAATTGTTTGTTTCACAAAAGATCTGATGCATACTAGGAAATAAGAATACCTATTAAAATTTGTCATGTAACCTTATACGCATTCGTGGTAAAAAGCATACTGACATGCCTAAGTCATATAGAAATTCATGATATTTTGATTTGAATTTTTTTTCACTGAAGAACCTTTTCCATTTCATCAGTTGATAAATTGTGATTAACATTGGATGATCGGTCATATATACTATCGTTCTAAGAGATTAAACGACTGATACATATTTTATTTCAATCAACCAAATTGTATTCTTTTAATTAAATGATACATCTATTAATATAACATTAACTAAAACAAAAGTGATTATTTATGAATTTAAATGTTTGACTATACATTGTTTTAAATTTTATTTTCATTTATTTGTTTTAATCTACAATTTAGGTTAGAACGAATCAAAAGTTTGTCGGAAGTATAGAACATGAACGTGACATGATTAAATCAAGACACTATTAAGAGTGATTTCCTATTATAAACTCCCCATATCTCATTATTTTAGTTACATTATTCTAACTGAGCAATAAAGAAATAATGTAAATATCTGCATACGTAAGAAACAACTTTATTTAAGCACTATTGAAATGATACGAATTTACATGCAGTTTAATTCATTTTAGTTATTTGACTTGATTTTAAGTAATATAATATGAATTTCTCAAACGGAAATTCACACATAAGGTTAGATCATTTCTTTAGAAATATTATCATAATATAAGGTTGAAATGAACTCAATGATTTTCCTGCGCTCAAAACAATATATCAACTTATTAATTCTGATAGATTGTAAATATATTTTAAAAAAATTAGTTTGCTTAAAAGAAGATAAGGCACTAGAATTGATCCTATGACCTTATAGTATTAGTTTTTAATAAATTCAACTTTCATTTATCGCTTAATTTATAGACTACAAAATAGTTCTGATATTTTCTCTGTCTGTCATTAGAATACAAATGAAAAACTGTAATTTTAAAGTCATCGAAATTACAGAAACATACTAGGTATTATAGAAACTGTATTGTTAATTGACAAAATATACATCAGATAAATCAGTAGTATTTCTTATGATGTTGGATAAGATAGCTCTATCAGAGTTCAGTCAGTCAGTCAGCTACAACGTAGGACCAGGAACATACTCCATTAACACAGAAAGATGAACACCGGATTCATAGAAGTAGTTAATTCAATGGTGGTAATATATAAAAGAAAGATTTAGTACGTAGAAAGAAAGATATGAAGCAGTTTTAAGCTCATAGTTTAAGGGAAGACAGAGAGTGTATACACCTACTCCATTGTGATCGATTCTGAGCCATGCCACTAAGAGTTTCCAACCATTAGTTACGATAGTCACGCGGACCCCAACCAAGTAGTCTGCATCTATCAGAATTACGGAAACATTTAAAAGATGTTGTTTTAAATATAACATTACTTATCACACACTAACCCAATTCACATGTATATATGTCATTTTGAACTTGAATGCATCTCATGTGTTATATAATGTTTCAGATTTTGAGACGGTGGAGAAGATTTGTAGCTCAGGTGGATGATTTTGGTGTTTCAGATTAGCTATATATTCTATTCCTTAAATTTACATAGACAATGGACAGAAAAATAATACAATCATCATTCATATTTAAGTGTAAACTTTACAAATATGTATATATCGCACTTTATCATTCTTTTTTATATAATGAAATCTATTAAATAGAAAATATTTTAACTCACCTAAAACTCTATCATCCTTCCATATCATTTCATCTGTATTATTCATTGTAACTTCAGTTTCATCACCATAATTGTAATGATCTTTATTGAATTGTTTCAATTTATATTTATTTAATTGAATTAATGTTTGATGAATATGTAACCATTTGATAACTTTTTGTCGTAATAATTTAACAAATTGACTTTGTATTACAGTTTTTGTTATTCTATTATCATTTATTGTATTATGATTAGTTTCAGTTAATTCAACGTTACATAGATTAATATTTTGAATATCCTTTATTGATAAATATTATGTAATCAAACAAATCATTAATCAGTCCTATTTATAAATATCTTTTATTGATATGATAATAATTCTCTAAACATTAATCAATAATAGATAGCAATGTCTTTATTCTAAAAATGTGGAATTATGAATTAGTTGTTGCTTAATTCTGGAGACAAAAAAACCCCCCTTCCAATTAATAACGATAAATTAATCTTAATCAATATTCAATCATCCCCTTTGTATATTCTATTTATTTATTCAATAAATAATTCATTAAATAATCTTTATTCTATGATTGTGTAACTTATGTACAAAAGTTTTTTTTAAAGTATGATGACCTTATTGAACAAATACTAAATTCTATTCACATAATAAATAGATATTTCAATAGTTTAGATCATGATTCAATTGAAACCATCCAGCTCAGAGAACAAAACACCACCAAAATCATCCACGTGAGCCACAAATCTTCTCCACCATTCAATTGAAGCTAGACCACCATGGAAAACCTATAAGCACTGGACGGCCTTTTTGTTTTAGTATGGAACTTCCCAGTAGTTCACATCCACCATCACACCTCGCAAGATTCGAACCCAGGATCTATCGGTCTCGCATGTGAACGCTTAACCTCTGGACTACTGAGCCGGCATCCAGCGGTATTAGTGTCTAACTTCAACCAATCCACGAAGATGGATTAATTGATTAACACATAAAAAATAAATATACCTAACATGTAGCTGAATATACAACTGAAATAATTGACAAAATTCTCACTGTGAATATGATGGATTACATAACTAGATAGTTCATGCTTCATTCATCCATTCATTATAAAATAATAAAAACACTTATGTGTACTAATTAGACAAACATCTTGTATATTATTTTTTGATCCTAATAAACGAAAACACGTGTAGAGACGACCAATTATACTGCGACATTAAATCATCTCAGACTTTATTGTTCTTTCATTTCTATATCAATTACTCTCTGTTCCCGTTCTCTTTTATTTGATCTTCTCAACTTGCTATTGTTAGGTATTTCTTTATCTGTTTGGCGTTATATACTACGTATGTCAACATAATTAGCAGACAGCACATTGAGCCTTATGCATACTTTTGAATAATTCTTTTGCTGAAAGACGTTATTTATCATTAACTTTGTTCACGGTTAATCATTTTATTCAAAGATGAATTTAATTACTATGGGAAACAAGTATTCAACAACTAACATAAACTTGTATCTTAGAGTCGATCTAATCATGCTTCCAAAATAATTTAAATTGTTTGCAGATATTGATGTTTGTTTTCAGGGATTTCATAGTGGTGACAAGCAAATAACTCTGTCCAAAAGTATTATGTACATTTTATTATATTACTATCTGAATAATCATCTTCCCGTTAATCTTATGTTTGGGTGCTATTCTTTCTCTAACTACGATATGTTGCTTCAGGATTGTCCTGCGTCAGCTGCTGAATTAATGATAGAGAGTGAAACAACTGAAAGCATCGACTGTACCACTTATTTTGAGAGTCTTATCGGTCCTGATGGCATAGTATCTGATGAAATCTCGGCACCGATTTAGAAGTCTTCACTAACTTTTGCCAACGTGTGTTAATTGTGTGTTGGCGAGATATCCATCTGATGACCAAAAGAATAATTTACTTCACAGCAATTCTCATTACTCTACTTTATGACTGTGAAACATAACCATTAAAAACAGAGGATATTCGTAGGTTGCTAATATTCAATCATAAGTGTCTTCGAAACATTTCTCGTGTATTTTGGGACCACCGAGTAAATAATACTCAGGTTAGGAATATAGAACTAGGTAAAGATGGCAAATCGATTGATGAACTAGTAAATCTTCATCAACTAAGGTGGGTTGAGACATGTGTGACGTATGCACAGTCACCGCATATTTCAACACGCCATATTGATAGTGTGCGTGTCGGCTGGAAGAAAGCTAAGAGTGGCCATCCATAGAGTCACTGACAACTGGACTGAGCCATGTTAATAGATGTAAACTACCTGGTTGTTGCCTGCGTGAATGCTGTAACCAGCGGTTAGAGATTTTGAATGACATAGCTCAAAATCGTTTGCAGTGATGCAGGCTCATTCATTTTTTATCATCTCGTATATTCTGAGCTTCTGAATTCCTCATAATTTTTATATTATTGTAAATTATATTTTCTTGAACTATTATCTTGATGCCATATCTTTCTGTTACCATTGATACTGTTATTAGCTCTTTTACTGTGAGATTGTCCCTGATATTTCCATCTTACTGTGCTAATGGATTGTGATAACTTGAACGGCTGTATATAAATACCACACTTTACTTTGAATCTGACTGACTATCTGGCTTCCCGTTAATTTGTTTATCTAACCAGTAGTCGTTACCACATTCAGTTTCATTTCAACTACTTTGATTTACACAGAGTTAATTCCCTACTCCTATACTGATTTCAAGAAATAGAATCTTAGATTGATGATAATCAATACTAGAACTAAAGATTTCTATGTCCATTCATATTCTTCTTTCCCTTTATAACAATCATATTGAAAGATTAACTCATAAGCAATTTCTACGCAGTTGGATATAATTATCACTAATCTATGAATTGTTATTCGGTTTCTGTGCATTCAATTCACAGATTATGTTAATGAGAGAAAATAAAATCGTTTAAGCTTCGATAACTTTCAAAGTATTAGAGCCATATGTATGTACTGAACAATTTAATCAGACTTTGATTAGCTAGAGTAGTTACATAAGAAATAAAAAAGTCAAACGAAATAAATTTAAACATAAAATCACGGATATTCAGGTAACATTGAGTATACAACACCTATGATACTATAAATTAAAGTTTAGTTGGGTTCAGTGCAAGTGCAAATTGCTTTCAATACACAAAGATATTATGAATTTTCATATAGCTAGACTCTGGAAGAATCCAAGTATTTACTCTTCTACATAATACTAGTAAATCTGGTTTTTGATGAGTACTTTAATCCTGTTGTATTTTCGATTAACGACACAGAAGGATGACAGTTGGTAACCTCTTATCAGATTAAGCGTTTTCGAAGACACGTAGGTCTGCACGCTGAATGTTTATCACAATGCTTGAAGATCCTATATTTGAGCTCCGATAGATTCATGTGCCCAGAGCTGTGGATGTTCAAACTAGGACGAAACGGTTATTTAATGCTTTCCATCATTTGATGGTTGTTGAAATTAATTTAGTCCATGTTGTGAGACTGCACGTTTACTTCACTATTTAACTAACGCTATATGGATGCAGTGACTACCTCTTTCTACTGATATAAGGTTTGTATGGATAGAGCATCTAATATTTTTGGAGTTGAATGTTATTCTACTCTTCATCAAAAAACTTTCCTATTGCGTTTATTGATTTCAGAGCACAACTCGTAATCTCATTTTTCTCACTGATTACTGTAATGTATTCCATATATACCTTAGAAAACTTTACATCCTGAATTGAATCGTTATCCAAATGTTACATTTATGTTAGTAATACTTTACACGGTTCTGATAAACATCATCTCAGTGCACTGTTAGATTATCACACACATAATACCAATGGAATACAGATGTATATGTTTAAGTAATGATAACATATAAACAAAACATTTGTTTCCTAAAATGCCTTTAGTTTCTATGGTAATGAAACATGAACAATGACTACAAAAAATAACTTCGGACTGCCTTAGTGAATACTATTTTTCGACAAATTAGCTCTATATTTTATTTTTATCATTCCCATCAGATCCCACTTAATTGTGATAACCTCATCGACCGTCTTAGTAAAGTTATCATGCCAATTAAGCATATTATTATCATTAGTATTATTATTGTTAAGGAATTTGTGGAGATTTTAGAATTTTCATAGTTTAAATCATGAACCATGCTTAGGGTGAAACAGTTATCCATCCTAGTAACGGAAAACGGCTGTGCAATATTATGAATTGACGTTAAACATTCACACTATCAGATCTTAGCTCAATGATCTGTAGGTTAAACGTTTGTAAGCAAGAATGAAGATCCTGGGCTCAGTCGACAGAAGCCTATCATGTGACGTACCTAAAATGTATTTAAAAGGATCCAATCGGAATTCATCATTAATTACACGATACTATTTACTCCAGTGATCATAGGTTACTGACTTATCATATAACTGATACAACATGATAGTTATCCAACTCAGACAGCGGAAAATAATCGCTTACTATCGAGAACCAATCCAAGTTTTATATGTTTACCATTTGATGACAGCTCAGTGGTCTAGAGGTTAGTCGCTCTCTGTTAAACCGAAGGTCTCCGGTGCTATACGCAGTAGGATAGTGGATGGACCCTCTTGAAGAGTTCTATGGTAAGATGAAACAGTTTGCCGTGTCTATCCTCGTTTTTAGTGATAGTTTAGTCAAGGTCAGTTCGTTTTGAAACCATGAAAGTTATTATTATTATTAGCCTTACCTTCATTATCATAATTGTTTCAAATTTGTTTAACCACTCCTATATTTAACTATTTAATTATTTGCACCCCCTCAGAATTTTCGTACCACTTTGAATTATTACCATGATAGTTATTACTATTATTATTATTATCATCATCAGTATTATGAATTCCTAATCATTAGATTTGTGTAACGAATATCATAATAATTTTATCATTTGTCTATCTTAATTTGCATATTTTTTTCTTATTCCTGATTATAACATGATCCCTCTTATTTGTCCCGTTACTAATAATATTGTATGGATGTGAAAAGTAATTGAGATTACTATTCATTGGTAAACTGAATGAAATTGTGTTTCAAAAAAGAAACTACACTTATAAACGATTTTATTTATAGATTTAGTGTGTATATTAAGGGTTGTAAAGAGTGTGAAACAAAATGGATTCATTTTATCCTAAAATGTTCGTGCTTCTTGGTATATAAGAGATCAACAAATATTTCTGTCTCTTATGTAATAATTATTGTCATTCTTGATACTGTATGGATAAATATTTTCATTATTTCTTATTGAACATTAAAAAAATGAATAAAATCGTTTGAAGATAGATTATATCACGAAATGATTATAGTCATATGGCCATTAAATACCAAAGTGTCCCGGTGTGTTGCGTATTTATATTATAAAAAACTCGAGCCACGAGCACCAGTGACGCTCAGGCATTGTATGTTGAGATGATGGTGGCTAGCAGTGACTGAAGATAATAACGAGACAATCAGCATAGGATGCACATATGTCAATAAGAGACTGATCAATTGCAATCCCAAATATCAGTGATACGTAACAAGTAATCAACACAAAAATGAATTAAACTTCATCCAATTTCACAAGCTAGTGGTTATCTTGACTCAGTAAGTAACTGATTAACACAATAGTGTTTGAGGCAAATAGTACTGGGTTCGAGTCCCGGGGTTGACGTCAAACCTGGGATGCAGGTACATTTAGCTGATGACTCCCAAATATGGTGAAACGCGCGTCATGGATGTCACTGCTAGTCACCACCATCTCAGCTTGTAAATTAGTTTTCTTCAAAAGAAATACTCGAAATGTTTTTATTGAAGCAATATGAAAATATACTGAGATAAATGAAGAAGAAAGCATACGAAAGAAATAGGGAAGATAGTCAAGTTTTACTTGGATGTAGATTAGTCATTGATTGGTTGACAAGTGAGAAATGAATTGACATCGCATTTATAATTTTGCTAGTTTGTATTTGTTATTTGAATTTTCTTTAGAAATTGATACTTGTTAAAATCACAAAATTTGTAATTAAAAACAAGTGAAAGGAATATTGTTAATGCTTATGTATATGATAAATCATACGAATGTGAACATTCATTTTTCTCTTAAGAGAATTTCTGTACAAAAATAACAGTAAAGGAAACGACTTAGTGTTTTCTTAAAAACTGAAATAAGGATGATTAATTTCACTATTCAGTTGGTTCATCGGTTAAGACTGATTAGAGCAGTCTAAGAACTGGCTTATATTTACACTTCCCAATGATAGCAAAGGTTTGATGGAAGAATTGCATATGTATATGTATGGTGAAAAACTAGACTTCCTCAAAATATTTCAATTCCATTATCCAAAAAATATTAATTACATTAGTTCAATTAGTTAATAAATTAAAATAAATGAGAACCTTTATGTGCATTTACTTACCTCCAGGTCAAGTTGTTCGTTGATTTTTGTGCACTTAGAAGTATAATTTTGTGCCATGTCAATAATTTTCGTCATTATTTCAGCTTCTTCATCCGTATCTGTATCGACTGACAGAAAATCTTCTTCATAGTTAATATCAGTTAACTTTGAAAATTATAGAGAAAAAATTCATTACAATATATTAGTAAGAAACAAGATTTAGTTTTGAAATGAGCAATATAAAATTACTAAGCCGCATTTATCCATTTTTCATACGAAAGTTGTTGAGCGAAGAAAATTTCTTTTTTCCTCTGATATCATTTACTCAAGCTGTGCAACTGTATTTTTAATTAACTTGATACAATGTAGTCTGTAGTAAAATAGAGATATTGTTCAACTAGAGTATCAGTGAGAAGAGAACTTTTTTCTCTGTGATGTCTTCTTTTTGTCTAATGACACAATAAGTTTAATTCGTTGTTTTGCATATAACAATGACAAAATCTCGTGAACAGGAACTTCATATTTATAAGCTGATTTATAGAGTGTGAATGGAATCTAGGAGGAACGGCATGTTTCCCTTACAATTTGTTATTTGTGTATGCTATTAGGGATTTTGAAAATTCATATATGCATTACTTACTTATGCCTGTTACTCCCAATGGAGCATAGGCCGCCGATCAGCATTCTCCAACACACTCTGTTCTGGGCCTTCCTTTCCAGTTGTGTCCAATTTTTGTTCATTTTTCTCATATCTGTCTCCATTTCTCTGTGTAATGTGTTCTTTGGTCTTCCTCTTTTCCTTTGGCCTTGAGGTTTCCATGTGAGAGCTAGCCTTGTGACATATACGAATATCGTGAATCATGGCAAGCGTTCAGTTAGAACACTTTCTATAACGATATTTATACTAAATACTGTATTGAAGCTTATGCAGTTTCTAGTACTATATCAAGCCCATATGGCTATACTAGTTACTGGACGGGCCAATTAATGTATTCATTTTGAGTCACATGTCGACCTAGTGAATTACTCGCTTATAACCTTGACTGTTTTTATACTAGCGTATATGTCTGTATTGCTTACCCTATTTATCACATGTCTTTAACTTATTTTTGTCTGACTATAGATCAGGCCTTCTCAAATGGAGTATTTACGTCTGCCTTTTTCGCCTCACTTTAATTTTGGGCTTCTTATTAATTTTTGTTTCAGTAGACGAGTATCTGAAATAAATCCATCCATTTCAAATATTATTTGGCTTATCACCACTGTCATACAAATAGGATTAGCCTAGGTGTAATATACCGAGTTAAATGGAAGATATATATTCATGAATTCTTCATAATTTCTTTATAATTGGAGTCCGATTAATGGGCCACTAAAGACAGCCATTGATACAAAAATAATTTTGAAAAACAAGTCCCATGTATAATTAAATGGACAATGAACTTTATTACTGCTCATTACGTAATAACATGAAAATGTCGCCAACACCAATTATTGATTAACAGTTTTTAAAATCATTTTTACAAATCGATAGAAATGGGTTTGAAACTGTCATAAATAACTTCGTATCGTAGTTTCAATGATACGAAGGAAACAGTAACAATATAAAATGTAATTGTTTCGAAAAACACATAACAACGGTTACTATATTACATAAGCAAGTTTATGTTCATAAAGAATTTCTATACTCAGCAATGACGTTTCCTCATACCATAAGGATACTTAACATTGAACAGGACTTCGGAATTTTTTGCTGGAATTTTAATCATAACTAATATTATATACATAAAACTAATATACCCATACTTCTATAAGAGATTTTAGTAGTTTAATAAATACTTCTAGATGAATTTATCAAGTTTATAACTTACCAAATTGATTTTATTCAACCTTTGTATTTTTAATTGAATTGGAAATGGTGTTGATTTTAATAATCTAACTGATTTCATTAAATCCATGTTAATTAAATTTATTCCATTTACCTAAATGAAAAGGTTAAGTTTGATTAGTAAACAGTATTTACATAACAATTATGATTAGATCAATGTAAATTAACTTAACAATATCTGTTGAATTTACCTTTTTCTTTTCAATATAAACTAATTATTGCATATTTTCTCTTTATTAAAGTTTTCCTAATATTTTTAGATGGAAACATAAATTACTTGATACATAAAGTGAACTTGTTTTGAATATTTGATGTGAAAAGAGAGAAATAATAAAGAAATAAAGAGTAGAGGCTTTTCCTTGGGACATTGTTCCACTTAATTTAAGATCTTTAAAGTACTAGCATTTAGTTTTATCCCTGTTTAATGTGTAACTTACTCTCATATACTTTTCTGTTACTAAATTACTGTAATTTAAACGTCACCTTTGTAATCCAGTTTTCAACTCGAATACCCTGGTTTGAACTCAACTGTATATTACTGTGTATTGTAGGTAGTCATGCTAATTCATATGCATTAGAAACGTTTTAAGATAGTTCCTATTCTTTTCGTTAGCTAATCAACCTGTCAGTTCATAGTTCAGTGACAAAAATGTTTCCTTCACTTTGTCATTAAGAGCTTTTAGTGATTGTTAAAATCACGGATTGCAAGTCTTAATGCTTTACTAAGTAGCCTATCGCTTTAAGGCCTTAAACGAAATTGAAACAATTCTCTTACTCTGACTGTATATTAAGCACAGACAAGTGGGCAGACATATCAAGGGGTTAATAATATTCGCGTTTTTAGGCCACATATCTGTTTGTTAGAAAAAGAATCACATTATAATGAGGTACTTCAGAAATATGATGTACGGCATGTGATAATTTTCTGAATCTCATAGAAACTCATCAAAGCTTCCACAACGACTACCGACTTCATTTAACAACTTCACACCCCCAAAGATGTTTCTCAATACCATATATATATATATATATATATATATATATATATATATATATATATATATATATATATATATATATATATATATATATAAAATGGAAACTGAACACTGTATACTTACTGATAAAATACAGTCCCCAATTCGTAAATGACTATTTTTATTGGGAAGTTGAATACCACTGATGACTACGTAATAATTTGAAGTTTCGTCGAATAATGAGTTCAAACCTGAAGCAAAAAAATAAACAATAACTGATGTTTGATCTACCCAAAAATGTGCACGTAAAACAATACGCCAGTGGGTGTTTAAAAAAACAAAAGTTAAATAATTTTGATGACAGACCTGATACTTTGGCATTTGCAAGTGATCGTACCAACGATCCAAGACTATATTGATTCAGGAACAGTTATTTAAACATTTGATAAATGAATCTACCTCATACAAAATTTACGACTAAAAAGTTCTATTGAAATAGGTCTATGGAGATTACTTAGTTTAAGGAAAGTTTGTACTGCAGACTAACGTTACTTAGACAACAATTAAAAACTGGCGGGAGCCAAATAGGCATTCTGTCGTCTTTGAGACTTTCGGGGAGTTTTTATCATTATTATCACTAGCTTTATTAGCTTTATTCAATATCCTATTTTTGATAAAATGTAGAATTCTTAGCATAAGTTACCGGCAACGATATCGCGGGATGACTCTAATAACCTAAAGTTTTGAAGATTAAGAGTTATTTTCATATTAGACTCACAATGGTAAACAATCCATCAATAGTTCAAATGTCATCAGTTATGAATTTTTACATTAAGATCGGATTTAGCCTGGATAATCATTGTAACTCATTGAAATCAATGAAAACATGTTAAGTATTATTTGAATAGTAGTTAGAATAGAAACCTAGCACAGAGTGGGTTGAAGGATGCTGGTCGGCGGCCTATGCTCCATTGGGAGTAACAGGTGTAAGTAAAGTAAGTAGAATAGAAAAACCAATTATATACCGACTATATTATTCACACGATGGTATTTCAAAAGACTCGTTTCTTTTTTATGAATTAAAAATGTTATACAATCTCAATGAAATGTAGCTCAGAACAGTAACAATGACCTTTAATTAATACTGGACATTAAAACTATACCTTAGTGCATAAATTGTTCAACGAAAATTCCATGGCAAGGATAAAGTATCTATCATTTCAAAACTTACACGACTTTTTAGTTATGCCATTCTTAAAATGTATTTATGCTTTTCACACAATAGTTATTAAGAATTATTCAAGATTTTTGACTTATACAATGTATATTTCTTAAATAATCTTATACATTAAAATATTATAACCTCAGATTATATGTATTCCATATATCTTAGGGTGTGTATTATTTACAATTCCATGATATTTTTTATTAAGATCATGAACCAGTTGATGTTAAACCACTATTGAAAACTCAAAAGCATTGTAAGGCCATTTCGTCTTATTGTGGGACTCCTCAGCAGTGCGCATCCACGATCGCGCTCCTAGGATTCGTACCCAGGGCCTTCAGTCTCACGTACGAATGCGTAACCTCTCAATCAAAAACACAATAATCTCCACAACACTATAATGATAATTCCATGATAAATGTCCAATCACAATACTACACATATTATTTCATTTCAAATAATATACTATTATTTATTTTGAATTTCAACTATCCTTTTGTATTACATTTTCAATATGACTTTTCTAATTATTTTCAGAAATAGGTATTATTTAATAAGGAATCAATTATTCTTCATAGGACTTGAATTTTACAACTTCCGTCTAATACAATGTTTATTATAATAACACAATGAAATTATTTTTTATATTGATGATGTAAATAAAAAAAATAAATATTATTTAAGAAAAGAAATTAGATTGGGTACGCAAATCAGTTGTACATTTGACCTTCGATGATGAATAAAAAGGTTAGTTTTTATTCCCGCGAGCGGGATCGTGGATGCGCACTGCTGAGGAGTCCCACAATAGGACGAAACGGCCGTCCAGTGCTTCCGGGTTTCCAAAGGTGGTGGTCTAACATCAATCGGTTTATGATCTTAATCAAAAAAAATATTGTCTTTGTGATTTATTGTAAACAATGGTTTGCCTAAATATTTTCACTTGTAGGTTGTATTGATTTTTTTTTCTTACAAAAAAAGGAACTAGCAACAGTTGTTACCATATGTGCTTATTTATGTTTTCGAAAAACAATATAAAAAGAAATAAATCACTTAAAATAAAGAAATCGATATTATTTGTCTCCAGAACAATTCATGTTTGAATTTTAGAATAGTAATTAATAAAAAAAATTAAATTACTGATGTAAAAACAAATGATATAATCTACTAATAAAAGAAATACGTAATAACTCTCTTATTTGTTGATAGAATTGTAATTAACCTTGATTATTTTATTTTAATTTAATAGTTGAATTCATGAGTTATTGAAGTTAAACCACCATCGTAAACATGGGACCATTGGACGGCCATTTCGTCCTTGTATGGAACTCCTCAGCAATGCGTATCCATAATCTCACATCGTGAAATTCGAACCTAGAACTTTTCAATCTCAAAATCAGTAGAATAGTTACTCATTTAGAAATGGATAATATTTAACTTTTGATATTAGTTAAACTGTAAAAATTTAATTTTAAATGCTTTATAATAATTTAGGCGAGTCGATTTAGTTGAAATAGTCATCAATAAACTTGATGTTCATTTTTTTCAGCTATCCAAATAGTTTATTTTCAACATAAAGAAAAAATGATATCACATTTTAAAATGTTAACTGTACATTTAAACAGCACTTTTGAAACTAAATGAACACGATTTCGAGATTATGGAAAATAATGCACAAATATAGGAACAAAAATCAAACCATTGGGGGACACAACCAAAGTTAAGGTCAATAAGAACCAATCAACGACGAGGTGTACAGAACAAGCTGTGAAATGCATATGGAGAAATTCAAACACTTCACTCCTATCTGAAGTTTGTGTTGATGATGTCGTTCAGAAGAACGATGAAAGCTCCACGACCAAACCATCTAGCTCAGAGAACAAAATTCCATAAAAAAAACACGATTTCAAATAGAATTTCCATTGAATTTTGTATAAGAATCTAGTTTTCGTTATGATCACTAATAAAAGGAAAAAGTCTACATAGAATAAATGAAATGCAGTTAGCAGTGAAATTCAGGAGTTATGTTATTTTATTAAAATAACCCATAGTGTCATTGAATAAGAAAAAGAGAATTCAGCGAAGAAAACTTTTCTTTTCGACGAAATCGTTTACTTAAGCTGTACATTCGTATATATAGTTATATGGAAAATGTATGCCTATAGAAGGATAGAATGGATTGTATCACAAAAATGGATTCGACAATAAATAACAAATGAGGTTAACGTACTAATCTGTCAATTGGACTATTATCTGACCCTTAAATTTTGTTCTTCCTTACCCCTTGATTAGTACGTTAACCTCATTTGTTATTTATTGTATGTTATTTTATTTAGGACCCTACAATATAAAAGATTACAAAAAAACCAAGGAAAAATTATATTATTCTGTCTAGTAAAAAACTAACACATTTGCATACTCCGTTATATTTAGTGATATATTTGTCGGAAGTTCACTTCAAGCTTCAAATTACTTGCATACATGTGTAATTCTTAATTATAATGTCTGAAAATATCTCAGTACATATTTACTCGACCAGATTGTTGATAATGCTTCAGATGACAGATAATTCCCATTTAAACATTAAAATTAAAACACGAAGTTCAGCGATGTCTTATATTCTCATTGTTTTATTCGTAAATGCTTATCATATCACCTTATTTATTTTCTACACCTCTACGACCTTTAATTATTATGACAAAAAAAAACATTGTAATCATCATATTATATTCATTAAATCTATTGTTATCATTCATATTACGTAATCTAGTATTATAACCTTTTTTATTAACTGTGTTCACAGTTCCTCGGGGAATTATTACTTTTACAAAAAACAAAAAATTTTCACATATACGATTGTACAGCTTGATAATAAATTCGTTGAAAAGAGATCCCTTCGCTGAACTTCGTGTTTTAATTTTAATGCTTCAGATGTTTGGCAATACTTCTAGTGATTTTATAGATCAACTGATTAACAAGATATATTCCCAATAAATAAGAAGCCTCTACATGTGATCATGAAAGCAAAACAACATCAAATCATTTCTTCTTATGAAAGAGTTCATCAGTGAAGTTATAAAATATTTCCAATCTTGGTCTTTTTACATTATGTGATAACTTGAATAGTTTTCTACATAGAGAATCTAGAATTCTTTCAGTGAAAGAATAAAAAACAACAACTGATTAATCATAATTTATAATTGAAAAACCTTACGTGATACTGAAAATCCTAAATTTTGGTTAGAATTTCTATAAACGTATAGTGTGAACTGTTCAGACAACAGGTTAACATTTTGTATTATATTATTATTTATAAATTCATCTACAGTTAAATTGTTGTTGCTGTCATTATCTTCTTTCTTATTTTCTAATTTTCCTCCAATGAGTAGTTGATTTTGTTCAGTTTGAGAAGAATATTTATCTGATTCATTTGAATGATTAGAAATTATAAATGAATGTTCACGTTTAGTCTTGTGATACTTATATTGTTTATCTGTTGATAAAGTATTTTTTAGTTCAATAGATTCTTGATTTACATTTTTGAATATGCCTTTAACTGGAAGTGCATCATAATTGGAATCAATAAATCCTACATGATTGTGCTGATTGTTAATGTTTGAGAAGGTGGTTATATTTGACATAGCAACTGACTTTGAATTTAGTTGTTCATTAGAATTCCAAAGATTAGGTGTTTTATTCACTTGTCTCAAATAGGATTGTTCATTTGTCCAAGGAAATTCATTATTATTCAACTTTATAATTGGAATATTACTGCGTGATTTAAACATATGGTTATAAGCAATTTTGTTAAACTGATCAATTTTTTGCTTTACATTTGGTAGTTCCTTTTTTAAAATTAATTTGTCATTTTTATTAGGCGTATCCATTGAGTAGTAGTAAATTGGATTACTTTCAGTAATTAAGTATTTTCTAACAGTTCTGTAAGGAGAACAAAATAAAAATACAAAAAAAGTTTTGTTTATTAATTTTAAATGAATATCGAAATAAATTCACTTAATATTTTTTTGATATTTAGGACTGCAACTGGTCAGTCTCTTATTGGCACATGTGCATACTATGCGTATTACCTCGATATTGTCTTAATTTACAAGCATTATAAGCAAGGATGGATAGTGAACTCTGGATAGTCAACTCTGAGATGCAGGTACATCGAGCTGACGAGTTTTCAATAGGACGAAACACGCGTCCTGGATTCTACTGCTAGCCACTATCCATCTTTGCTTAAAATGTCAAATTATTTTATAATCTAGCCGTGAGTTTAATAACTTGTGTTTCTGTTGTATCTCATGTTTAAAAGTTCATGCACTTTTATTTCGTATCTTATTTGATAATAATGATAACATATAAATGTTTTGATTGCACTTAATATCGTGAAGCTAAACATTGCTAGGAAACCAGTTCAAAATATTAATCTTTGATACTTTAGTTATTTGGCCATAATAATTGTTACTGATACCCTGATGATATAAACGCACAAGCTAATACAACAAACATGAACCATTTAGTTTACCACATAATCTATCATGATTTACGGATGGGAATTCATATACGCTGTGGTATTTATCCTTTTATATATAAGGAATTGTGCTGTTCTTTGTAATATTTAAATGATTATAAATATGATGTAATTAGTCTACTTGTAATGTAACAGAAAATTTTGTAAAATAAATTCAATGGGATCATCCTTATTTTGTCAAAAGCTAAAGAGGTCTTGTGACGCGAATGTAACAAAAAATGAAGGAGAAAGCGACCAGTGTAACAGCCTCAGCAACAGTAGGTCTCAACATGCACAAATGGAAAAGCAAGATTCTCCGATACAACACAACATGCACCAATCGAATCACACATAACGGAGAAGCTTTGAACGATGTAAAAACCTCTACATATCTGTGCAGCATCATGCATGAACACGGTCGATCTGATGCAGATGTGAAGGCGTGAATCGGCAAAGCAAAAACAGCATATTTACAAATGGAACTCAAAACAACTGTCAATCAACACCGAGATCAGAATTTTAAACACAAATGTTAAGACAGTTTTACTGTATAGGGAGGAAACCTGAAGAACTACGAAAGCCATCATCCAGAAGATACAAGTGTTTATTAACAGTTGTCTATGCAAACTACCTCTATCACTATCAGCAACAACCTACTGTGGGAGAGAACAAACCAGATCCCAGTGGAGGGAGAAATCAGGAAGAAGCGCTGGAAGTGGATAGGACACAATAATGAGGGAAGCACCCAACTGAGTCACAACGCAAGCCCTCACATGTAATCCTCAAGGTCAAAGGAGGAGAGGAAGACCAAAGAACACAATACACTGAGAAATGGAGACAGACATGAGAAAAATGATCAACGATTGGATAGAATTAGAGAGAAAGGCCTAGGATAGAGTGGGTTGGAGAATGCTGGTTGGCGACGTATGCTCCAGTGAGACTAACAGAGGTAATTAAGTAAGAGAGGTCTTAAAATATTAATTATCAAGTATAATTAAGGTGATTAAAAATTAGGCATGCTCACTTTCTTAGTGTAGACACTTGAAAAAAATTGGACAGAAAAGTTATTTAGCAGTTTATTTTTTTTAGTTTACCAAATTATGTTACCATGCATCATATTACTTATATTTACTCGCTATAATAATTTATTATCATATAAAATAATAATAAATATGTACTAAAATTCTATATCAGACATCATAAAATATAGATATATGAATTCTTAATTTTACTAAGAAAGTCATTATTGATTATACTGAATTATAAGTAGCTTAGACATTATTGTTATTATTAGTAGTAGTAGTATTATTAGTACTAGTATTAGTATTACACATTTATTGCTTACTATAACTATCCAATTTTCTTTGTCTGATATTATTCTCTGATATTGAGTGATATGTTCTAGTTTAATATAATTATTTCTGATCATATATAAATGTTCTAGACAGATTAAAATGAACATATATGTCTCATGTACTTTTAATGGACAAAATAATAAGATAAGATAATCAATTTGATATGGATATGATCAAGATAGTTAATAACTTATTTTAGTCATATTAATAACTATCAATGATATGAAAGATTAATATACTCATTGTTCACTTTATTTATTTTAAATATCATATTAAGGAATTTGCGTATTTCTAAGTTTATACTTAGTAAATATAAGTGAAATTAGTAAGAATAAAGATTTTTGAAGAAAAGCATGAGTTCAATTTATTTCGTTTGATTCTTGTCAGCTAGCTTGTAACCTGTGATATTTAAAAATCATAATTACATAATGGATTTTTAATATTTTTTTAAAAATCTTTCTTGCATTTATTACATCATTGAGTTTTTATTTCAACTATCTTTTAAATTAGTAATCTTATTTTATTAACTGAGCTTTACTCATTTTTTATTCCTCTATCAGCATTTACTTATTATGTAATCACTTGTTTATGGCCGTTTGAACTGTTTTCATAATCAGTGTTGTAGAATGTTCTTTCATATAGAGTATATAATTACAATATTGAGATATAAACCAGTTTCTTATTTCCCTGAAACTAGTCGACTGACATGTTTTTTTCAGTCCGGTTATATTAGTATTATGCATTGTAGAATACAATAAAATTAATAATGTATGTAATGTGAAGTTTTTACTGGTATTCACTTAATCAATGGTCACCAAACCTATTACTATTACAGTCAAAAACAGAATACTTTTAATTAGGTTTGTTTAACAGTTATTTACAATAGTAGTTATTACGAAACAGGCATTTACATTGAGATTGTGATCCATTTTATTGATTAAATGAGTCAAGATCATGAGTAGATGTCACAAAATTAAGAATATTGTAATCGAAGTGAACATTTAAATAATATAGAAATGAACTACTTAATATTCTTGAGTAGATATTGGGTTCGATTCAATGAACATGTCAAATTGCAACATTCATATCTATCTATGTCTTAGTAAGTTATTTATTCCTATGTTATAAATGTTAAATCGTTACATTAAACCATTTTTTCCTTCAAAAGACAATTTCTTAATATAAAACATGTATAACATGACAATTTATTATGCAGTACGATGTAAATACTACATAATTAGGCAAGAAAGTAGTCGATTTTTGAGATTTTTATTGTTGTATATGACCGGATATTATTATAAATGGAAGTAAATAGTATTTAATATAAAGATTAATGTGATATCCTTATGAACAGAGATTGTTGTTAGCTTTAAAATAATTAAAATTTAGTTGAATAATATTTCTTATTATTTTGGTATGTATTTCAATGAGGTATTAAAACGGTATGAAGAAAAATCTTCAATTACTTATTACAATTATATTTGTGACTGAAACATCTTGATATCATTACACGGCCCACGAAAAATTGTTATTGATTTTACGGAATGATACAACAATTTGATCTGAGCAACCTTAGACTTGTCTTGACTTGCATCGGTGTTAACCAGCGGTAGATGAGAAGTATAAAATAAATGTAGTTTATTTATCACAGACAGTGATAAGTTCGTGACTTTAAAAACAGATTCTACACTGTCATTCTGTAGTTGCTTTAACTTTTCGGGTTCTTCGCTCACTCTTCAGTCAAGAATTTGTAAACAGTAATTTGAAGACACTTATGATCAAATATCTGTAACCATTCTAGTTTGACTTTTTTTTTCATTCTTACGAGCTAAATTCAACCTTTTCAATCTCTTTTGTGGACGTTTGTCAAATAACGAAATCCCAATAGTGATAATAATGAAAAGTTGGCTAATGGAATGGAACTGTAATGTAGTTGACGTCATCCTCATTATATTATTTTCATCATTCCAGCTCATTTTGAAAAAAACTATCACTTCTGTTCAAAGTCTAAATAACTAACTTTGGTTATCTTTCTTCCCTTTCTTCAGTTCTATCTTTTTCCGCCTATTGACTTGAGTTTACATTGAAATTGGCTTTTGTTTCGTCATATTGAAAACTCTTCAAATAGATTTCCAAGGACTCATTTGTTAAAAGAGAGTTTGTTGAGTTTCATCAAATTTTTTCTAACACTTTAATGAAATTTATTAAAAGTCAACATTATTATTCTACGACAGACTAGTGATTATGTAACGATTAATAAAATGTTTGGCTATTAATTTTCTAATCACATTGATAGGCATTACCTTGAAATGAAAAGCTCCGAATAATGTTCCAGTTAATTTACATGGAAATTACGTTTAGGTAACATTACTTTCAATGAAAATTAGTAAGAATCCAAGACTTTTTAATGTACGTGTTCATACGTTTAAGATATAAACAATTAAGACAGAAAATGATGAAAAATATATCAGTCACTGATAACTTATTAAGTTTGTATTGTATACAAGTTGATTATAATTTCGGTAATTAACCAAGTGTTTTGATTGACTATTTGAATAAAAAAGTTTGTATAATTAGTCGTAATGATCATACTTGGTGTTTCAGACGTTTTCCACTTATCATGTTATTACATTTTTAGTTATGATGTGTTCCATAGCATCGAATTTAATTCGTTATTGATTTTTATTCAATTTTCGTCTAAGTATTTTAAACATTATTTCATTGTAAGCAAAGATGGATAGTGGCTAGTAGAGGGATCCAGCACGCGTGTTTCGTCCTGCTTGGGATCCGTCAGTTGAATGCACCAGATCAATTGCAGTCCTAAAACATCAGTGAGAAGATTCATACAAACAATATAAAAAGAAGTTAAACTTCATCCTATTGCAAAACCAAGCTGCTATCAGGACTCAGTAGCTAAGCGGGAAACGTGATAGCGTTTGAAGCAAACGGTACTGGGTTTGAGTCTCAGACTGAACATCAACTAGGATGCAGGCACATCCAGATGACGAGTCCCATATAAGACGAAACACGCGTCCTGGATTTCACTGCTAGCCACCATCTATCTTTAC